AGGTTCCTTGTTCCAGTAGCTTGATTTAATCACAAAGACTACTCTTCTTGATGCCCAATCAATAATCATTCTAATTTTTAAGAAAGATGCCAAGATTGGCCTGGCAAAATGTCATCTAACTGGGGTTTTAGACATTATTAATAAACTTTATACCAAGCATCTATATATGAAATATGTAGACTGGGTGATTAAAAGATAATTTACTTCCTATGGAATAGGCTGGAAACAGATTGACAACATTTAGCAGAAAAACAATCTAGCTATCCTTGAGGTGTTCTTTTATGTCACACTCATCAATTTGAAGGTAGCATTTGATTTGGTTTGAAGGGAAAGGTTAGAGGCTAAGACAACATTTTCTACAATAGATTGAAGATTATTACAATGAATTATTATTCTAAATGAAAATACTTATGTGCAGGTCAGGCATGCTTCTCCAAATTGCCTGCCTTAACCCAAAGCTCTCCAGAAAGGAGGCAAGCAAAGATCTACAGTACTTAGCACAAATATTTAATTGCTCTATTAATTTTATTGAAATATTTTAACAAAAATGAGTTTGATCCTCTGATATTGGCAAACATGCTTATCTACATCTCTTCTGTTCTATTTTTTATTTGCAAGTAGTAGCAACAGACTGTAGCAATGAAAGTTAAACTGTGCGCATGTGCGAGGCAGGATGGCNACTTGTTAAGGATCTGGGTCTGGAATTTTAGCTATTTCTCAGAAAAGAAAAGAAAAGAAAAGAAAATGCAAAAACCACATGCTTCTGTACATTTCTGTACACGTTCATCTCAAAGAAATGAGTTTTGAAAAACAGGAGGCAATATATAAAGCATTATTAAGTAGGGTGATTTCCAGTATAGAAAGTTGGAAAAATATAGCATGTAGGGTAAACTTAAACTAGCAATACTTTTTTTCTCTTTTCCTTAATTTATGTCTTAGGTTTATTGCTTTACTACTTCAAAACATTTCTGTGCTATGCACGACATGCTTTTAGGAAGCGTTAACCAGCTTGGCTAGTGAGAGGTTACTAAATCTACAAATGCTTAAAACTTTTAGTTGGACTACTAAAGCATATTAATATGGATATACTGTAACTTACTTTGAACAGAAAAATCAACCCAAGAGAAAGGTTGGAATGGTGTCTCCCCAGGGAGGCAGACTTTGTGGATTAAAAAGAAAAACGAAAAACTAAAGGAACATGTCATGTTTAGCTTTAAGCAGCAACATGAGCCAAACTCTTTAGCTATCATGAGGTTTGGGGGGTGGGATGCCTGTGCTATCATCAAATGCCAGTGGTTATGTTTAATTCCTCTCAGTTTATTCTATAAATAATGAATCATAACTAAAAACCAGATTTTCTGTCAGCAAGGCAGAACATGATAACCACACACCATGTATGCACCAGATAATAATTTCAAAACAAATGATAATTCAGAATGCAAATAGCCAACTTGCTAGTGGACAGCAGCCAGACTCCTAGCTAACACTCTAACAAGATCTCTCAGCAGTGATCTGTTTAGATATCTGCCATAATATAAAGGCTAGCTTGAAGTAGACTTGCAGGCTTGGGATTTCAGCCGTTCTTTAACAACAAGCAGTCTGGACAGTATCTGCAACCATTTTTCCATCCTAATTTTTAGCTATGAATAGAATGGACCGTATTGGCTCACACTGCCTCATGCCTCTTAGATTGAAACTTGTGGCCCTTTAACAGTTAGCAAGCTGTATCTGAGCACTGCTCTGAAAGAAAAGAAATATTTGTTTAGCCCCCATGCCTTAAACTATACTAAAAACATGAAGCCAATGAATACAAAGCTGTACAATTGAGACCTTGAAACTTCCATCCACTCTTCTATCAGTATTAAAAGGAGATATAGGTAATTCTCGATTTACAATAGTTCATTTGGTGAATGGTTCAAAGTTATAACCACACTGAAAAAAGTTACTTATGACCGTTTTTCACAGTTACGACCTTTGCAGCATCCCCATGGTCATATGATTAAAATTCGGATGCCTGGTAACTAGTTCATATTTATGACTGTTGCTGTGTCCCAAGGTCATGTAATCATCTTTTGCAACCTTCTGACAAGCAAAGTCGAAAGTCACTTAACAAACCGGGTTACTAACTTATCAATTGCAGTATTTCACTTAACAGCTGAGGTAAGAAATGTCATAAAATGGGGCAAAACTCACTTAACATATATCTCACTTAACAACAGAAATTTGGCATTCAGTTATGGTCATAAATTGAGGACTGCCTGTATGTCGAGTCCTTTGTATTAAAGAGATCTATAGCTGTGAATAGTTCTCTCTCTTTTCCAAGAATTATCATATTTACTAAAACAAGTTTTCTATTAAGCCTTGGCCAACAGGATACTTTCTGCTGTCTACCAATCCCAGATCTTTTCCCCCCAGAATGCCTAAGGAGGGCAGCAGGTTACAGAAAATTGTTCTGACTTACCTCTGCTGCTAAATGAAGGCATTTGTTCAATTTTATTATATTCCATTTATTTTTTTCTATATCTAAAATTATGGAGAAAACCTTTGTGTCTTAATAATATTGAGTCTTCATCCTAATATCAGAGTTGTTTAAATCTCCTTCATTCAGTAATACAATTCAAAGATTTTTTTCTCTAGATGTAAGCAATCTTAAGAGTGTAGCCACTATTACAATAACAATGTTTGCCTGTGGCTATAGAAACTGGCTTTGAAATTGGAAATAATGGAATCATCCCTTATCTGTAGATCAGATAAAAAGTCCCTAATAAGGTAGATTTAGAAAGCATACATAGAGATGAAGTTGCCACTGAAAATGCCTCCTGCTTATACTATATTCCCAAGTGAGAGTCTGCAGCTCTCAAAAGGGTCAAACATGACTAGACAAATTGAAAGTGAGTGTCTAGCAAAATCTGCAAGGTTAAGGGAGAAATTTATATAATACCTATGATCAGCTTGAAATACCACGAAGAATGATGCACAGATCATTGTCTCAAGTCAAAGAGCCAAAGTATAAAAGACTTTCAAACTCCCAATTCAAACTCCGAAATTCATTACTGCAAATGCCACAAAACAAAACATCATACATATTACACTTATTTTTAAGATCACTATATTTCTTTCTTCTTCTTAAAAAGAGGTGATATAAAATTAGATGAATCACATAAATTGTGGTTTTTAAATACAGTAGTGTATAAAAATCTAAGGTTACAGTTAATTTTTTTCACTTTCTATGCTTACCTCCCACTAAGCCATTTTTATGAATAGGAGAATTAAATTGGCTACTTAAAGATTTTACACCAAAGCTCAGGATAGGAAAACAAACAGAGACAGCATGTCTGAACATGAAAGAGTGGCACATAGAGAGGCACATTGTTTTGGACTGCTTCCCATTTTACAGAGGGTGGGAAAGCCAGACAAATTAAAACAGGTTTTTCTAGATAACAAGTCATTAGCATGCTTTTAAAATGATGACATGTTTTCAAAGTTATGCTTTTCATGTCCAGGCCAACCATCTATTTAATAATGGTTAGAAAACTATGGAGGAAAAACTAACAATATTATGTACTAATACAGAACTCTTATATTGAGATATTCAGAATTTTAAATTTTTACAGAATATATCAAGAATATATCAAGAATAGATAAGCTAATCACTGATTCTACTTCAAAGATGCAACAGCCCAAAGTACTGAAGAATTACTTTGTGTACTTTCAATTTGGGCGTATCTTATATGGTAGTCTTCCCACAAGATTGTCCTGGCTCAGACTTCAAACACCCACCAAAATTATGAAGTACCATCTTGATATGCTTGTAGTCTATTCTTCATATCTGCAGGGAAGCCAGTTTCAAACTATTTTCTCAGTAGAGATCATCAGCTGGAACTTACCATTACTTCCAAGCTAGATCTCACCCCCTATTAATCAATGTTTGTTGTTATTATCAAATGAGGGAAAACACATAGAAAAATTAAATACACATCATTATCAGGACAGTTGACATCAACCTTCCCTACTAGATTACTTTCAGAGAAAGTTAGAATTATGGATCTCCAAATTTTATTGATCATGATAATTGAGAGTTGCTGGTTTACAAAAAAAAAAATCCAAATAACTTAATATAAGTTTAGTAAAGGTCTAGCTTAATTTCTAGACTTAAATAAATAAGCTTTATTTTCCACTGTCAGCCTTTTGATAACATTTATTTGAATTACTTGCTCCCACAGTAAACATTAAATCTCCTGAACAATATACCCTTCCTAGCAACCAAATTACTCCATAGATATGTACAGATTTAACACGAGTTTTAATTTAACTCTTTAAAAATAGAACCCTAGATTTTCCCAGCAGGGTACAAGTGGGGAGGATTTAATTTAATCCTTTTCTCAGGTAGCATGGATACATCAGAACATCAGCAACCTGGCTCTAGAAGGAGACATTTCTACTGCTTCTAGATTTTCCCAGCAGGGTACAAGTGGAGAGCATTTAATTTAATCCCTTTCTCAGGTAGCATGGATACATCAGAACATCAGCAACCTGGCTCTAGAAGGAGACATTTCTATTGCTTCTAGAGTAATCAATTGTAACAATGCAACTGTGATTCTTCAGACAGTTAAAACTCCCAACCTCAATATATTCTAAGAATAAAGGCAAGACGAATCAACTACAGATAACTGACATAAATGCCAGGGATTTAGTCTTGACTGCTTGCGTGTTTTTTCTCTCCTGTTCTCTGATCTAATCTGAATCATATTCCAGTTGAAACAACACAGTAAACTCAACTGTAACATGATATGCCAGCTTATGGCTCATTCTAACAATGATTAAAAATATATTGGCTTAGTACAATGCAATATTATAGAATTTATACCCAAACATTTCAGACTACACACAATTGCAACTAGATCATTGATCAGGATGTAGTGTTTAGGAAAACCACTGAGAATTCAATTAATTTTAGTGAATATATTTTTCAAACTTATATTAATTGAAACACCATGTTGTCATACATTCTGCACAAGAATGATAATAGACAAATGTTTCTCACCAGAGTTTGATGATAAAATGTGTCTTTGAGGAGATGAAAGTTTGGTCACGTGAGTATTTTTATTGTCACTTCCTCTCCTAGAAGGGAATGCCATTTTAGATGGTGGTACATTCCTTACAGGAACAGGACTACTTTTAGGAAAATCTTGTCCTTGTGCGATGTCTGTTTTAGACAAAGAAGCCTGCATGATTTAATACCATATGGAAAAAACAAAGAAATGGAGAGAATAAATGTAGAAACATGTATATTCTTACTCTCATAATGTAGAGCACAAAGTAACTACTGCTAATGAAGCATTGTTCACTTGATTATATGTGCTAGTAAGGTCTGCCTCAAATTTTCCATACTGTAGCTACATACTTTTTGTTAATGATAGTTATCCATGCATTCTTGATTAAGCAGAGAAGGCGGCTAACAGTCATAAGCACTATTTCTGGCACTTAGTTGTGTGTGTTTGGCGTATGTAAAGATAAGTGTCTGTTGCTGCAAAATCATCTAATGTTGTAGTTAACTCTTTGTGGTAAGCATCAAGATTTTTTCCTAACATGCCACAAATGTCCCCAAATATTGTTGGAGTGAAACAACAGTTTCCTCCATGAAATTTCAGTTGTTCCTGGAGACCCAAAAAGCTTGCAACTCAACATTCAGAGCAGAAGCAATCAGTGGGTGCTGTGGTAAGCCCTGTTAGGAATCTAAATTGTGAATGTACGTATTTATGTTTAAAATGTTATTAAATACCAATATTAAGTTTGTAATGCTAGCACTCAATCATTTTTATACCAATATTTAAGACAGACTCAACATACTTTTAACTAGCATCAGCATGTTTGCTGGAAGCTTGCTAAAAATTCTCATTGCAAAACATAAGTGGCTGCATATTAACCAGATTGTTGGGTTGGTTTGATAATGCCAGATTATTTACTCATTTTTTTTTATTTCAGGGCAAAAGGATTTGCAAAATATGAAATGGTGTTAATGCTGAACTGAAAGCTAGGAAATGTTATTTTGCAGCACTGTGTTGTATTAATTGCATTCTTAAAACAATCTATGTTAAGCCACAGATAGATTACAATAAGATTAGATGATTAGATTAGATTCAAATTGTAAACAAACTAGCTCTTTTGTATTAGACTTATAGTGGATAGACATATCCGATCTTTAATAAGATGTAATTTTGCAGCATAACTCAATAAAAAAGATAAGGAAAACACGCCAACTAGTCTGTGAGTTTTGTGTTAGCATTTCTCTTCAGTGTTTAAAGTAGAAACAGGCAGCAGTTAACCATATGTAGTTTGTAGCTATTAAGTTACAAACCAACATTGCATGGTAAACATGAAAAAGTGAACAAGTACTGGACAACAATATATACAATGTCTCAAATTTTAAAAAATAATATCCAGTGGAAACCAGAATTTATAATTTTTATCAAAAGAAATTCTATATTTTTTTTATAAATCTAGAAAGCTTGAATGATCATTTTGCTGACAATGGGTAAAAATGAACTGGTGATTCCTAGGTTTGTCAACTATAATGGACTGAATATGTGAAGTTGGGAAATATATAATTCAGTTTTAAAGAGATAAATAATAACAATTTAGCAACTCTTATAAAGAAAATTGGAAACCACTTTTTTAACTCTTTCTATCTGATTCTGGTACTTTTATCTTTTTTACATGTTTGCTCTTGTTTCTCTTTTAACTATATAAAGCCATTCAATAAAAATATATATTAAAAAACCTAAAGCAGCAGTAGCAATGGTTATAATAAATACTATTTACGGGAAAATATGGTTTTCCCCTTTTTGCCTCTAAAATCAAGGTGGTAAAATCATAACCTCAGAAATAAAATGGTTTTCAGTTCAGGAACATGCAACCAGTGAAAAACATGGTTTGAACATCAGATTAAGAATATATACATACAGTACACAATGCACACATAAACTTACCGAACAAAATTGCACTAGTCCATGGCCATTGTTTGTAACTTCTTGGGTAGATGCCTCACTTGGAATTCCCGTACAATCATTTGAATGCTTGTTTTCTAGAGCTCTCTGGCAGCTACTCACAGCCCAAGGCTGAATCAAAGTTTCTGCATTGTCCATCCCTTCACTTGGTGACCCACCATAGTTCTGGGAGCTCATTAAAGCCATAGGGAAGCATGATTGACTAAGATGCTTTGCTTTCTCAACCTGATCCACATTCTGCTTTAACACTGGTTTTGGACTCTTCTGAGAAACATTTTCAGAATAAGTTGTAGCATGCACACCTTGGCTAGGAAGCTGTTTATTAAAATGTTGCTTATGAGTCTTATTCATAGGGGTTTCTGCTTTGGTGCCTTTATCCAAGTCCTTTTTTTTCCTCAGTGATGCAAACAAAAAGGATGGTTGCTTTGGTGAGGAAGACAAGGAGGAGGAGGAAGCAGTAGATAGTTGCGGAGATCTTGGACTTATTTTTAGAGCAGCACTGTCCTTACATTGTGACACAGGCCTGGATACAACTTTTGGCTTAATGTTTTTAAAATTTGGTTTTGGAAAGCTCACAATTTCTGCTTTCCTGGCTTTGGTTATAGTAGCTATAAAAGGAGATCTCTTTGTTGATTTTACTGCAATTTGTTCAGAATTATTTTTAAGGGACGGACTTCTAGGGTGATCTTTTACCAAGGGAGTATTCTTTCCAGGTTTAGATCCCTCACCAGGATCATCTCGCATGGAAACTACAGCAAAAGTTGCATTTTTTGACCCCACAGGAGGCGGCGAGGTCAAGCTATGTTCATTGGCTGGAGAGCTATAAACAATGAAAGTTGATTGACAGTTGTGCTCAGACAGAGCAACTCTTTCTGCCTTTGGTGTATCATTTTGTATTTGCTTGGGTATTTCACTAGGTCCCTTCAACAAGGCTTCATTTTCTTTGAAAAGAGTCTGGATTTTGGTCATGTGCACTTCATCTTCACAAAATTCCTGTTCAGAATGCTCATCAAAGGTTTCAATGGCTAAACGGCAAACATCATGTATGTCATCATCTATACTAGCCCCAGCCATCCATTTATTTTCATCTTGTTCAGGAGTGCTATGCATATATTTCCTATATTTGACTTTGCACATATCAAACTGTTCTGGTTCTGATAATTGCTTACTGTAAGAACCAGCATCCTGCTGTCCTTGCTTTTCAGGCTGTTCACTATTCTGTGAAACTAAATCAATATAATTAGTGACCTCGTCTGCTGCCATTGAAAGCGAAATAGATTGCACACCCTTATCTTGATACATATCTGGTGCATTTGAATTGATGAAAACTTGTAGGCTAGGAGAGTCAGAGTATTCACAGATGAAAGTTTCACCTAATTCCCTAGGACTGACTGCTACCTCATAACATTTACTTATTGTATCCCCCAAATTTATCATTGTAATTAAATTTGTATTAGCATCTTCCTGTTCTATTTGGGCACTTCCTAATTCATATTGTGTTTCAGTAGTGCTCCTTTCCTTAGAGGCAAGGGGCACTAAATTCATGAGATCTGTCTGGCAATAAGACATTGATTTCCTACTACTACAATTCTGAAAAGGTTCCTTTGCAAGGCTTTCTTTGCCACAACCCTCTGACTCCAGGAAAGTCTGATTCATGGCATCCATGTAAAATTGTTCCTTTGAAAAAGAGCACTGTGTGGCCTTTGGGTCTGAAGTCCCCATGCAAATATAATCACTGGGAGCTTTCTGCAAGTCTTGCTCTTCAATGCATGGAGTTGAAGCAATGGTTTTGAGCCCAGTTGCATCCTTAAATATTGTACAGCCTTCATGTTCTACTCCTTGGTGAGGATGACTAATAGTGCTTTCATTCAAAGATCCAATGGTGTTACTCACACATCTGTTGCCATTTTCATCCCTGATGATTAAAGGTGACTGCAAGACTTTTTCCTCTACTTTCTCCACATTCATTTTTTATTCTTTCTGTCCTGTCATTCTTGTAATCTGTAAAATTGTCTTGGTTTTATTTTTAAGGAGGTCCTCTTCAGTTTAATTCATTTTTCATAATTGTAGGATTCCCAATTAAATTCGGTTCTGATCTAGAATTGGATAAATTGAAAAATTACGTCAAATGATAATCTGTTCTTCAAATTGCAATGTAATTGGGCATATATTATACTAAACACACATTGCTGAATATACTTAGTGTAGCACATGGAAAAGAAACCCTAATTAATTTTAGACATCAGCCCAGAATTTATTGAACATTATCTCATTTGTATTATTTTCTCATTGGGAATTATATTCAAAAGAAGCTGTTTATCCCCAAAATATGCAATTTTCAGACAATTTTTTAAAAAGAAAATAGTAGTTTGATGGAATTTTTGATGGGAAAGGGGGCAAAGGACACAATAATAATAATTAAAGAAATAAGAGTTAACTTACTTTCTCAAAGTACCAACATAGATCAAATCCCTACACTTTGGGGGGAAATAGAACAAATGGGTACAATATAAACTTATTTTTAAGCACATGTGTTTAAGATAAAGTAGTTTGACCTTGAGTCACTGTTGATATTTAACACTCTTCTGATTTGACCCACAAAAATAGGTATTTATTTTTAGAATTCTAACTAAGGATCAAGTTTTGAAGAAACTGGTATCTTTATTAGCAAATACAGGAGAAATCCCTAAAATCTTCTGGGTAAAATTAGATTCTTTAAATTGAAAATGTAGAAGAGCGAAAGATAGGTATAAACCAGTTGTTTTGCTTAATTGTCTTCAAGAAGTTTAACTTAACTTTTGGAACGTGAAATAACTTAATGTTTATCTTCTGCTCATGTTGAAGTAAAATGTTGCCACAATATTCTCTATCAGCCTGATGCCCTTCAGAATCAGTAGGTTACTGTTTACTTCATCCCCAGATGACATAGCCATGGAAAGCTGACTTGCTATACAGGTACGATAGTTCTTACAACCTGTTCTCTAAGTGACCTTTTGAAATTATAAGAGCACAAAAAACCTGATTAACAACGGGTCCTCACATTTACAATTATTGCATCCCCACAGTCACATGATCAAAATTCAGGTGCTTGGCAATCAGCATGTATTTATAATAGTTTCAACACCTTGGGGTCATGTGCTTGCCACTTGCAACCTTCCCAGCTGGCTTCTGACAAAGACAATGAGGGAAGCTGCATTCACTTAACCCTAAATGATTCAGTTAACATGGTTTGCTTAACACGTATGGCAGAATGGTTGTAAAATCAGGTGTGACCCACTAAGCTGTCTTGCTTAGCAACAGAAATTCTGATCCCAATTTTGGTTGTAAGTCAACAACTAGTTATAGTACCTTATCCATTTCTCCATGAGCTATCAGAAACCTGAACAGACTTCTTTAATTATGTACCTGTGTTATTGTAGGTACAAGAAATTTATCCATTTTCCTAGCTTAAGTTTAATGTGCAATGGAGTACAGTAGAAAATTACACTCTATCATATTTTTCAGATTAGGAACACAAGTTGAAATAGGGAAGAAAATGGTAAGTGAGCACCTGTCTACCCTAGACGAGTTCAAATCATCAGGACCAGATGGGTTACACACGAGGGTTCTGAAGGAACTGGCAGACGAGATCTCAGAACCACTGAACTATATCTTTCAGAGATCCTGGAGCACCAGGGAACTGCCAGAGGACTGGAAAAGATCTGATGTGGTTCCCATCTTCAAAAAACGGGGGGGAAAAACAGATCCAGAAAACTACAGACCTATCAGCATGACCTCAATACCAGGAAAGATTATGGGAAAGATAATCAAGCAGTGAATTAGCGAACACCTAGAAACAAACAAAGTAATAGCCAAAAGCCAACATGGGTTTATCAAAAACAGATCGTGCCAGACTAATCTTATTGCATTCTTTGATAATGTGACAAAATTAGTGGACCAGAGGAATGCCGTCGATATAGTTTACTTGGACTTTAGTAAGGCATTTGATAAGGTAGACCATAACCTACTACTAAATAAAGTAGAAGACGGTGGATTAGACAGCATCACCACCAGATGGATTTGTAACTGGCTAATCAACCACACTCAACATGTAGTCCTCAATGGAACTGCATCTTCATGGAGGGAAGTATGCAGTGGAGTACCCCAAGGATCTGTTTTGGGCCCAGTACTCTTCAACATCTTTATCAATGATTTGGATGAGGGAATAAATGGGGAACTCATCAAATTTGCAGATAACACCAAGCTGGCAGGAATAGCCAACACTCTAGAAGATAGGCTAAAGATACAGAAGGATCTTGACAAACTTGAACATTGGGCACTATCTAATAAAATGAAACTCAATGGTGAAAAGAGTAAGGTTCTACATTTAGGCAACAAAAAGAAATGCACAGGTACAGTATAGGTGGTACCTTGCTCAATAGTAGTAACTGTGAAAGGGATCTTGGAGTCCTAGTGGACAACCATTTAAATATGAGCCAGCAGTGTGCAGCAGCTGTCAAAAAAGCCAACACAGTTCTAGGCTGCATAAACAGAGGGATAGAATCAAGATCACGTGAAGTGTTAATACCACTTTATAATGGCTTGGTAAGGCCACACTTGGAATACTGCATTCAGTTTTGGTCACAACATTGTAGAAAAGATGTGGACACTCTAGAAAGAGTGCAGAGAAGAGCAACGAAGATGATTAGGGGACTGGAGACTAAAACATATGAAGAACGGTTGCAGGAACTGGGTACGTCTAGTTTAATAGAAAGAAGGACTAGGGGAGACATGCTAGCAGTGTTCCAATATCTCAGGGGTTGCCACAAAGAAGAGGGAGTCAAACTATTTTCCAAGGCACCTGAGGGTAGAACAAGAAGCAATGGGTGGAAACTAATCAAGGAGAGAAGCAACTTAGAACTGAGGAGAAATTTCCTGACAGTTAGAAAAATTAATCAGTGGAACAGCTTGCCTCCAGAAATTGTGAATGCCCCAACACTGGAAGTCTTTAAGAAGATGTTGGATAGCCATTTGTCTGAAACATTATAGGGTTTCCTGCCTAGGCAGGGGGTTGGACTAGAAGACCTCCAAGGTCCCTTCCAACTCTGCTACTGTATTGTATTGTATTGTATTGTATTGTATATTTTGTTCATACGTCTCTGTATTCAGTAAGGATTTTGGATCCCCTAACCAATACTGTATTATTTTCTGTAGATAAGTAACCATTAGTTACTTAATTACTTATAATGGTATAGTAACTAATAGTTACTATACTACTAATTGTATAATGGTAACCATTTCTTAAAAGTTGTATTATATAATGTAACTTTTTAAGAAATGGTTACCACTATACCATTATTAAAATATAACAGATTTTAAACTGCTGTTATATTTTAAGCTGTTATTAGAAATTCTCAATGTATTGTATTCAGTACTGTGTAAAGTAATGACAAATTTATCAGGAATCCAGAAAATGTCACAATTTAATCACATCATATAAATGAGATATTTCTCATTTCAAATTAGGAATTTTGCGGAATCTCTCCCACTTTGCATCCTTCCATTTATGTTATAAAACTGCACAAAACTGAAAATAATATTGGAACTGGGAAGAATAGAAATGTTTATAATGTATAATACAAAAATTGGACAAAGTTTATTAGGGGAAAAAACAAAATAGATGTTTTATAGCAAATATTTAGTCTTTTGAATTTCTCTTCACTATTACCATTATTGAGAGCCAGTTTGGTGTAGTGGTTAAGGCACCAAGCTAGAAACCAGGAGATTGAGTTCTAGTCCTGCCTTAAGCACAAAGTCAGCAGGGCAATCTTGGGGGCCAGTTACTCACTCTTAGCTCTAGGAAGAAGGAAGTTACAAACCATTTCCCAAATTCTTTCCAAGAAAAACACAAGGACTTATTTGTTAGCATGGTATGTTTACCTATGATTAAATTAATCACGGTTTTCTCAATTAATCCCACATTCTGGATTGAACAATCCAATGAATTATAGGGGTTGAGTTCCTACAACCTGCAAGAATAAAATGTGGTTATTTATTGGTTCAAGTATTGTATGAATCCAGTCAATATTACCAAAGAGTAAGAGCTGCAGTGGTACAGTGGTTAGAATGCAGTACTGCAGGCTACTTCTGCTGATCACCAGTTGCCAGCAGTTTGGCAGATTGAATCTCACCAGGGTCAAGGTTGATTCAGCCTTCAATCCTTCCAACATGGGTAAAATGAGGACCCAGATTGTAGGGGGCAGTATGCTGACTCTGTAAACTGCTTAGAGAGGGCTCTAAAAGTACTGTGAAGCAGTATATAAGTCTAAGTGCTATTGCTAAGCAGAAAAGTAATTAAATATAAATTTAATTGGTCATTTTTATCCTCTTTGTTATGCTATCAGTTCAGTTTCTTAAAACAAAATCAAATATTTCAAGATGTTTTTCTTTTCCTTGTATCACCATGACAAGATGCACAATTTATCCTTCTATATTATTTCAGGATTGATGCATTTAATCTTTGCAGGAATATAATTACTAGCAACCTTCCTCTTTTTCCTTATTAGTTATTTTTTGAAGATTCCTATTTTTTTTCAAATTGAACATTTACAAAGATCACATTCCTGTCAGTCCTGATGTGTTTTACATAGGAAGCAGATGTATTGCAAATAAGAACCACAAAGTCCCTTCCAGCTATATTTTCATAACAAGTGTTTTTGAAATGTGCAGTTGGCTACACCCTTGTTGTTGTTGTTGTTGTTGTTGTTGTTTCTTGGTACAGTTGGTTTCTCCAGCACCTACAGTTTGAGATTCAACCAAAAGTTTCATGACTCATCTTTAGAAATAATATCCTTTCTTTGATAATAATTTATTCAGTAGATATATTTGAATATACTCTTAGCTACCAAAATCCCTACTATAATCTTTTGATATGGCAAACTATCTGGGTTGGACAGCTAAGCATAACAATGTGCTTAATCATATCATTAGGACACAAATTCAGGCAAATGTTCAATCAAACCTGTTTAAACTTTGCAAATGAAACTTTGCAAATGAAACCTTAACTGTCTAGGTTAACTCATTGCATATGAGGAACCAATAATGCTTTGCATAACCA